GCTCCCTCCCCTGCCTTGAATCCAAAGGGACAGAGAGCAGCTGGAAGGTGAAGTACAGCTTGTGGGCGCTGTGCTGAAAGTCAAGCCAGACACCACTCGTGCTCCCTCCAACTCCTCCTATCTGAAACTTCCCTGAAAACACCACCTCCTTCACATGAACCCAGAAGTGCTTAAGAGTACTGCAGAGCACACTTGTACACCAGACATAAGTGGAGGAGAGACAGTGAGGGAAATGTGGAGAATTACTCTGTTTGGCAAATCAATTGTCCTGCTGTGGTTAACAGTTGTGTAGGTACATTTCAAGCAGGGCCCCCTGACAAGGACATTAACATGCACAAATAGGTCTTTCTTGAACACTGTTAAGAGCAGCAGAGAGGAAACAGTCACAGTAATGGATAGTGCTGAAGCGAGAAAAGCCCTGACTGATCTATGTATTTCTTAGTTTTCTTTCCTTTAGAGGCAGGAGTCATAAGGCACGCTTTATTTAATCAGGTGGTTCCATTAAGATCAAGATTTCAAGGCAGACATTAGAACAAGAAACTTATAGCCAGACAAGCAGGCAAGCAACATCACCACATGTAAAACCAGACAATCAAAAATGAAGCAACAAAGCAGAAAAATTACAACACAAGAAAAGTGCCAAATAGCAGAAACTTGAAATCTCCAGTAGAAATGAAAAATCTAGCTTTAGTTTATTCCATTTAAAAGGCTTTGTCAAGAAGATTATCTATCAGCACCACAAAAACTGGCAAGTTATTGTTATATTACAATTGTTCAATCCACACAGTGGAAGTTACAGTAACTTCAGCTTTTGTGTGGATTAAACAGCTCGTATTATCTGTATTATTATTACCATTTTGGAAACTGTAACCCCTTACACTATTTTCTTTACTGAAAAAAGTAACTATGTTATTCCACGTTTTTCATGATAAAGCTTTGGTGTCACTGCTAAATGGATTTTTACCTTTGGACAGCCAGGCTACTGTGTTTAGACATGAGTGAGATGTCTGACCCTTGGCCAGGACTATTCCTTTAAGTTCACACAGAAAGCCTCATTTCAGTTTTATAATTTGGGTCAAATATTGAAGCTGAATTTCACGTACCTACTCTCAAGCCAAATCCCCCTGTATTTGTATGACTTGGCAGGAGTGACATGGGTAGTTTTAGAGTAATGTTCAGAGGCACAGCTGGATGTACTGCAGATGTACTGGGTTTTACCTGCCACTGAAACAGATCTGTGGTTAATAAGGAAAAACAGGAAAGCATCAAAGGCAGACTGAAGATAAGTTGGACTGCAGCCATACTAAAT